ATATATGTGTGTGTGTGTGTGTGTGTGTGTGTGTGTGTGTGTATGTGTGCGAGTGTATGTATGATAAAAATACAAATACCGAAATGTTCAAATAATTTTAAATTTAATATTATTCTTACCATCTTGATTGCCAAACTATTGAAAGAGATGCCGAATATATTTTTGCTATATCACAACGTAAACCAAGTCTTCTGGCCACACCGTGATATATTATAAATAAAATTATTTCTTCACCAATTTTATTTTCTAAAACCTGTACCAAAAATTACAATATAGAAATTAATTAGAGAGAAAATATTTTTGAGAAATAATAAACATATCACATGATCACAGCATAATTCGGCTATTATATTTTTACAATGTATTATAATTTATACTACTTACATTATCTATACATTTGTATTCCACTTTTGCGTTTTTCGATTTTGGTACTCGAAAGTTTAATTTGCCAAATATATATTCTTCGAGTATATTTATAATCTGTGTTCCTTCTATTTCGTCCCAATGATAATTATCTTCGATATTATTATTCTTCCAATAGGAAAAATTTTCAGCGGACGTCGACAATATCGGATGGTCGGGATGTTTTTCTCTAAGATAACTCAGTACTCCTAATGCAATATTATCGAGTGACGCTTTTACGCACGAGTAAGATACATCTTTTTGAGGTTGAAACCATTGTGCCGCAATAGTAGCAGACCGTTCCAAAAACTGCTGTTTGTGAGGTTGTTCGCAAAATCTGTTCCATTCCTTCGTCAACAAATGTTCCCTCAGATAGTGTAACAGTTTTATATTGCGATATCTTTCCGCCAGATCGCAATCAGCTTTTCTGAAAAATTTGCATTTTAACTGTGCAATAGGTACGTTAGTCTATGAGATTAATATAGCATTTTAATTTATATTAAATCTTACTGTGATGATTGAGTAAGCAAGTATTTAATCTCATCAATATGGAAATAAATTTTTACACCATTTTCAGGCTCATACATTATTTGCGTTAAATTTTCACATAAAGGAAAATCTATTGAAATATCGTCACCGATCTCATAACGTTTATTTATTATATGAAACACGAAATTCAATTGTCTCACACAATTAATGCCTGTTTCCATAAAGCTTAAAAGTTTTTTATCTTTCTGTTCGTTCTCTTGAGACTCCTTATCATTTTTAGATAGCTTGTCATAATGTTTTCTCGCAATAGGCCACCTGAAATTAAAACAAAAATGTTTTAATAAATTTTTGAAAATTACACTAAACAGTGCCATTGCATTAGTAATAAATTTTTAAAGGAATAAGTTATTTTAATTGCATAATGTACAGAATTGGTTAAAATATAAATCTTTTTGTTTCAATGCTAAAATTATGCAGTATATAATCTTCAATTTTTTAATTTATAATTAAACTTTTCACGGTAATATTTTTGTTTCCGATCCAGTCCCGATTTTGATGAAATTTTGCAGACACGTAGCTCGTATTATTATTATACTCTATTACTAATATATTATAATAATTATTACTACTAATATTTACGATTATAATACGATAACGAAGATAAAGAGTAATTATAAACCTCGTTTCATATCCGAAGCACAGGACAGTGTGCAACGGATTTCGCTTTGCATAGAAAGTTGCAAACTCACATGAAATCATATAATTATAAACCTCGTTTCGCGTCCGAAGCACAGCGTAATGTGGGATGGATCTCGCTTCGCGCAGAAAATTGCAAACCCACATAAAATCGTATAATTATAGAAATTTATAAAATTAATTCGTCAAGTTAATTAATTCATCAAATTAATTAATAAC